TAAGGTACCTTACTTAGTTATACTTCCTTAAGTGCAACTTCTATTCCTTATGATTAAAATACATGTAAACAAATCTCGTTTTCATAAAAATATTGTTGTTAAACAATTAGAAAATATATTTGCACTATGATCAAAGTAGTACCCCATAACCCCTTATAAAACACATTTAATCTTTTAAAATATGTAATGCATGATAACTAGTAATATTTATTCAAAAATAGCTAAAACAAAGTAATAAGAAATATAAATTTCCCTGTCACCTCAACCCTTTGGTATCAAAAGGGTTCCTCTTGTACAAAATAGGGCTCGGCTTGTTCCTTAACTTCCGAACAAATTGCACCAACAATTCTTAGAACATATAAGTGATCCACATCACTTATCATGTCAAATAGTATTAATGAAGACGATAACTCATACCACACAACTTGGGTCTATGAGCCATAATCCATTCTAATGGTCCATATATTAAACCAACCATTCACATAGTATCACTTAACCACCAAAACCATTTATTAGCCATCACTAAGCTAATTTCCAATTTATATAATTTTTAATCAATTGAAAACCTTCACTTAGTGTCACCAACTTTCACCATTAGCCCTTATAATGAAAACCAAACCTTAATTTAAATCTTATTAGGCTCAAATAACAAAATTATAACTAAATCAATAGGCTTAAACCATTGAGGAGAAAAACCCAATCTCTCAGGGTTTAATTTGTGTCTAAAACACCTTTTTTCATCCAATTATCCACATAAAATATTAGATCACTATATAAAAACACAAAACATCCTCCCTAGGATCCAAAGAAACAATAGCTTATAAGAATAAAGCCTTTGGGATCAAAATTCACAAATTTTCTCTTCCAAAAATTGAGAAAAACAAAGAGGAAGGGAAGAGGATAGAAGTAGGAAGTTTACCTATTACGTAGCCGAGCTCGCAATGGCCGCAGAGTCTCCTAGATCCAAGCCTAACTCCCTCTCTTTCTCCTTTCTTCTTCCTCTCTCTCTCTCTCTCACACGTTTCCTTTCTTTTTCTTTTTAGTTTCTGCGTTCTTTTGCTCTTTAAATTGCTGATCTAATGCCTTGGGGAAAATTACAAGAAATGGCCCAATATTTTTTTATTATAGCACAAAAGCTCTAGTCAACTTTGGTAATTTTTTTCATAGTTAAAAATCAAATAAAACCAAACTTTTGCTGAGAAAAATTCAAACTCTGAACTTCCATCAAATTATTCTAAATTTTAATTTACTTATAGTATTTTATTTTATTATTATTTTTTACATAAATTTGAATCTTAAAATTTTTGGGATGTTACACCCATTCTTTCTCTAATTTGGCCGAGGACTCCACTCTAACTGTGAGGAACAAGTGAGTGGAATCGAGCATCTATAGGGGAAGGAAGGTGGTGGAATAATGAACAATATTAGAAAGTGTTTTGGAGTCCAAATTAAGCCATTTACTTAATGTTTTTGTTAAAATTTCTGTCCACTTATTTAATAAATTTAGGCCATAAAATTCTATCTCAATCTGCTCATCTTCATGCCCTTCATGCTCTCTAAATGAGCTTGGGGTCCCCTTTGATTAATTGATAATACATTTCATAAGTAATGTATGAGCAGTACTAAACCAATAAAAGTTGTATAGTTACTTCAAATATTTCTTCCTTTTATATACTAATTTACTATAATGTTTCCAAGTTTTGGTAATTTTTTATAATTACAATTTAAGACACAAAACTTTTGAAAATTACATGTTGACCCCAATTGAGCTTGATATTTTTGGGATAATGTTCACTCTTGTTCATATTTAACTCAGGAAAATTTCTCATAATCTTATAGTATTCATCTATAATTAAGTACCCCTTGCCTTATAATAATTATTATTTAGTCTAGGATAGGCTTTTACTCTTAAATGTTTCTCTTCTCTTTCCTTTTTAGCCTTGATAGTAGTTGGGATATTTAAAAAAGAGTCAAGGATACTCTTTTTATAATAGTTAGCCAAACTTAAGAAGTCTATGTTTATCCTAGGCCATTTTCTTCCTAAAGAATTACCATATACTTTATAGCTCAATAACTTTCTACTTGATCTACTGCGACCATGAGATCTAACTATAATTTTGAGATCTAACTACGATCTCATTGAGCTCTTTTTGAATCTACTTTGATCCTTAGGATCTAACTACAATATGTCTCTAAAAGATTTAGGATAAGGATGAAATTGTCATATAACTATCTTTATTTAATATGGCAACTTTACTAATTATTCTTCAAAACTAATATTAGATATTTCTATTACCCTTTTAGGCCTTATTTATTCTTTTTTGCTTGTCCTAAACACTTCTGAATTTTAACTTACTCATTTCTCAATTATAGGCACTTCCTTGAAATCTCTAAAAATATTACACCTTTGCCTAAGAAGTCTTTAAAATTATGATTTGGTCCTTAAGAACTATCCCATCTTTTTTTCAAGGCATCTTTAGAACTCTTGATTACTTAAGCATAGCAACTTGCTAAATTCAAGCATACTCTTGGGCTTCAAGCTCAAATTTCAAAATGTTATAGTTCTCAACACAATTTTCTAAAAAATAAGTTGTAAATATTGATATTCAAATAGTTATAAATATAAATTTATGTTACAATCTAAGAGTTACATTTGATATTTAAGTACTTATTTATAATTAAAATTTTTAAATTTGCAATTATTTGATATTTCTAACTGATTTTTCAAAAAAACTTGTTGGGGATCTAACTATTATTAATTTAATATTTTAAAATCTAACTATCATTCTCCCTATATTTAATATATCAATGCTATTTCATTTTCTTCTCTGTCATATGAGTCACGCCTCAAATTGATTCTTTTCTCATCACTCATATTTTCATCTTCTAACCAAAATCTCATCCAAATAAGCAAATAATAAAAGAATACCATGAAATAAGATAATTACTTTTTTTAATTTTTTAATTGGGATAGTTACTTTTAATCTATGGACTTTTTTTGACATAAATATTTTTGGAGAACTACATTTTTGACTCCCTACAAAATAATAGAAAGTTTAATTGTCAAAATCCAAACTGAAATTGTTAATAACCTAGGTGAAATTGCTAATATAGGAAACCTAGTTGATAACTTTTATTTATTTTTTATCCAAAAAAAACTTTTATTTAGTTATGCAATAACAATTACATATTATATACCAATAATTTTATCTTTATTATTAATAACTATATTTTTTTATTATGTCAGGTAAGTCTCTAGGCTCTAACCCAAAAGGCTGGCTACCATAAAATTAGTCTTTTTTTCAAACTTGGCTTTATTTGGGCTTGCAAGCTCTTTTTATTTGCATTTCTAAAATTTAATTTTTACATAATAATATTACATGTTTTTTCTCTAAAATAAAAATTATAATATTTAAAAATTTAAAATAAGTAATATAAATTTTAATTTTAAAATATATTCTAAAATCCAGATTTAATTAAAAAATTGAAAAAAATATTTTTTAGGGGTATAAAAAGGGTCTAAATAGGCTATTTGATCTTATTTTTATAGAGTTGAGCTTAGAAACTTAGTTATACTAAAAATTTTTAATTTTTTAAACTCAAACTCTTATAAAAATAGACACAAATGAACAACGCATCAAGTCTAACCTTATTCCTAACTCTAAACATCATAGTAATTATCCCATTTCTTGTTTTTTTTTATTTTGTTATGATTTATTTGTCATTCTTTCCAGTGAGTGTGCCTACATGAAAAACTAGAGTATTCATGACTTTCCATACACCAGCAGATTTAATAACGCCAATATAATAATTTTGGAAAAAAAAATAAACGACAAGAAAAAATTAAAAGTATATTTTTTTGGCCAACAATTAAATGGATAAATTTTAAATCTTATGAACTTTATTATATAATTTAATGAAATATATATTTTATAATCTATATTATCCTTTACATAATTTCTTCTTTTAAATTTATGGAACAATAAATTTATTGTTAATGTTGGTAAACTTATCTCTTTATAATTCAAAAAAGTTACTAGATAATTATTGATTTATGCAACTCTTATTCTATTGTGAGCTAAAGATATTATTTTTATAGTTCTTCTGATAAATAGTAACAATTAAATTCATTACTAACATAATGTGATAGATTAATTAATGGATAAACAATATCTCTTCCAATCTAAACTAAATTCTACATAAAATTGCTATTCATTCACATTTTAATGGGTAAGCATTTGAATTTTTAAAGTTATCATCTAGTCTAGATGCAAGTTTAAGAAGGAAAAAAGAGAGTAAAAAGTCTTTTAACAAAAACAAAAAGGACTTTCTTTTAAATCACTTTATATCATCTAAAATTTAAATCATCGGTTCTATTTTTTTTTCCCTTCTTACATGAGATCGTGATTTATTTTTTAAAATAATTTGTTATTTTTTTATAGTTGGAATCGTGTGTATGGAATTATACAAAAATAATCCTTAGAGATACACTCGATGAGATGAAAAATGCATGATTGTTATTGTTATTATTGGTATATCTGAAACAAATATATCTTCGGTTTAATAGATAAACATTAAATTATATTCACAAAAAATATGTTAAGTATATTATTTATTTAAGGCAAGATCATAAATAGATACTACTGAGTTATCCCAATTTCGGTATCAAGATAAATAAATTGGATAGCATATGAATTCAAAATTAAATTACACAATTTCACGACGTATCACGATATGCCCATGGATCATCGCACATAGACCAGTGGGTCAACAAGTCTTTTGTGACTTTTTTTTTATTTAAATTAAATCAAAATTGTTCTACGCGAAGGATCTATTACAACGTAGGCACAGCAACACAACTCATCTAATTTTTCGCCACGTATTAATTTTGCCACATGGCTTCTTCTCATTGGTCCAATGCTCTCACCCTTCCCCACTCCCATTGTAGCACGTAAGCGCCACTTAATTCAAAGTCATGCACCTTATTTATTTTTACCCTTCACAACTTCACGCCTTACTGGAGATTAGCGGAAAAGCCACGGATTCACTTTTTCCCTCCGAATTTTCTCGGCAACCAAACGCCTAGAGTTTTCTCAGTGATTGTCTTCCTGAGAATGCGATCTGCACAATATTGGTATATATATATATATATATATATATTATTTATCGAGATATGAGAAATATAGAATGAATGAGGATATTTCCATTTATTTCATCGGTATTTAAATTGAATTTTAGTTTCAACTCGGGCTGAATTTTTCTTCTTTTGTTTGTGCTGCACAGAAGAAGCTGGGAGTGTACGAAAATACGATTGCATTCCAGAATGACGTCGTTCCTGGTGAAGCTTGGGATATTTGTCTCTGTTCTTTTGCTTCTGTTTTCTCCGTCGCAATCTGCAGTTTTTAGCGTAGATCTAGGTTCTGAGTGGGTCAAAGTAGCGGTCGTAAACCTGAAACCTGGGCAGAGTCCAATATCGATAGCGATCAATGAGATGTCCAAGCGAAAATCCCCGGCCTTGGTGTCATTTAATTCGGGTGATCGTCTACTAGGCGAAGAAGCAGCCGGTCTGGTGGCTCGGTATCCTCAAAACGTCTATTCCCAGATCAGGGACTTGATTGGCAAACCATATAATTTCTCTAAGAAGTTTTTGGATTCAATGTACTTGCCATGTGAAATCAAGGAAGATTCAAGGGGAACTGCCACTGTCGTAGTCGACTCTAATGGCACAGAGTATTCGGCCGAGGAATTGGTGGCGATGGTTTTGACCTATGCTGCTAATTTAGCTGAGTTCCATTCAAAAATTCCGATCAAAGATGCTGTAATCACGGTACCGCCTTACTTTGGGCAAGCTGAACGAACCGGGTTGCTTCAGGCAGCAGAATTGGCAGGAATTAATGTTCTTTCTTTGATAAACGAGCATTCTGGTGCTGCATTACAGTATGGGATTGATAAGGACTTTTCGAATGAGTCCAGGCATGTTATATTCTATGACATGGGTTCAAGCAGTACCTACGCCGCACTTGTATATTTCTCGGCGTACCCAAGTAAAGAATATGGCAAGAAAGTATCAATTAATCAGTTTCAGGTAAACGTAACTCGAAGTTTGCGTTGCTAATTCAATATCATATGCTATTTATGAACTAGCTTAATTCACACAGTTCTTCTATCTAATCTAAATAATTTATATATGTTTTTTTTTGAAGTTACTTGTAAATAAGTCGTGCCCCCCCCCCCTGAAATCGTTCTAACTAACATGAATTTGTGAAATTGTTCACACAAGTCACTTGTATTTTTAAATTTGAATTGGTAGTCATCTAATAACACGATTTATATATATGGACCGTAGCATTCAAGGATGATTCTGGTATTGACTTGAATATAGGCGTCTTGAGTAAGTAATTAATATTTTCCATGACATACAAATCATGCATCAATATAATGGAAAGTGACAAGAAACAGAAGTTATGAAAGTAGTAGGTTATCATCTCAGAAGTTGTCAAAGTAGTTAGTGTCATTGTGGCATTTATTAATTGAAAGACATTATGAATTGGGGATAGTGGAATAAGTATAAACAGATAAAATATTTCCCTGCTCTTCGGAGCGGTTTCTCATTATCGGCTTTAAAGCAATTATTAAGAGCAAAGAGGCCATAATTCTATAGAAGTGTGCTTTTATGCAGTTCTATGTATTTGGTTGGCGTGAAATACCTGTATTTTCAAGACTATCTTCTTTTCTTGACTTATGTTATTTAATAGGATTATCTTATGGCTTCTCTGCTTCTTTTCCCTTGGTCATTTCAAGAAGCTTTGCTTCTGAAACGCAGAGAGAACAGATAGCTTTATCACATATTTTCATCCTTGTTGCCTCGTTGTTTTCTATTAGCATGTCTATTGTGGAGGATACCATATTGTGCTCTCTAGTTGTACTTCCCTTTTATTTTTGATGACACCAATTCCTTTATCAGGAATATTAAATCAGTTTAGATCAATGTTGTTAAAGAATTAAAGGTGAAAGGCATGCTCGAGGCACAAGGGTAGTAAAACACCTTAGGCACAAAGTGCTAGAAAGGTGCACACTCGATTGAAGCAAGGCACTACCATGTGAAAATGCATAATATATAGACAACACATCATATTTAAAATGCTAATTGTAAATTTTGTTAACCTTCATATAAAATACTCTAAACTTGTGTCATATGAAGGAAACATAGATAAAAGTAGCAATCATTTCATGCATTATGAATAAATACTCTAGGAAATATCAACCAAGCACCAAAGGCGCTCGCCTTTTGCTTGAGAAAGCCACACATGATGCCCAAAGGCGAGTGCTGAGTGAACCCATGGCCTCCTTTCACACAAGAGGCTATGAGGCTGTTCTGCCCCTTGCCTCAGCACCTAAGGTGCAAAGGCACTCGCCTTTAACAACATTGGTTTAGATTCATATATTGTTGTAAGAATTTTAAATACCTTGATACCCAGTTGCTGTGATTGACATATTTAAAATTACAGTAACTAAAACGTCTCAGACATGAAAAGTTAACCTTGGTTTCCTCTATTTATGTTAAACATGAAAATAGAATTATGGAAGACAGTTTACTTTCTATTATTAATACTGGAGTGATCTCCATTTTAAACTCAACTGACTCCCATATTGTTCTTGTCTATGCAACTTAAGAAAATGAAATGACCATGACTGTGTGTGTGTGTGTTATCATGTTTTCCTGTATTTCTTAATGATCCTTGTTACTTCATAATTCATGAAGGTTAAGGATGTCTATTGGAATCCAGAGCTGGGCGGTCAACATATGGAATTGCGATTAGTGGAGTACTTTGCTAATGAATTTAATAAGCAAGTTGGTGATGGATTTGATGTGAGAAAGTATCCCAAGGCTATGGCTAAATTAAAGAAACAGGTTAAACGAACCAAAGAAATTCTTAGTGCAAACACAGCTGCACCAATTTCAGTTGAGTCACTTCATGCAGACACGGATTTCAGGTTGGTGAATTTCATAGTTTCTCCTCAGCTCCTTTCATCTTTCTAATTTCCTTGAAATTCATGTAATAATTCCTGTAAATATCAAAAAAGTTTTGAGCACTATTTCTATTCAAAATATTAAGGTTTTCTATGAAGGCCTGTTAATAGTTTTATTGCAATCTCTTGTACAAACAGAAGCTTTTAGCTTATTCTTTACAAAACGTAAGGAGACCCTACTCTGTAGTTTTACAATGTACCCTAGTACTCTGTATTCCTGATTTTTACATTATGGTTGACACTGTTATGCAAAATGCTCTCTAAAAACTGCATATGAATAATTCTTAGAAGATAATTTCAATTGAGAATATTTTCTTGAGACATTCTTGGTTGAAAATATTTGAATAATGCATCATCCGACAATTTTCTGGTATTTATTTTGTTCATTGATAGAGCTCTGCTCTAAAGTAACTAATAGAACCAAGCTTTCAATGCAAAGAGAAATAAATGAGGGAAATTCTAAAGTTTTTGATATTAATGCATATGAACCGAATCAGTGTTACAAGAGAAACTCACTGATTTTAGCCAAAACCCTATTCCCTATGACTGAAATTACAAACCAAATGGAAGAACACAGCAACAAGAAAAGGTCTCTCACTGGTGTTCGAGAGACCAGCACTCTCCTCACTTCTGTCTAACTTCTCTAAAACATCCTTGAGTGCCAACAAAAATAATACAGCCAAATAAAGCAAGCAAAAAGGTGGCTTCAATATCGAGACTAAATCTAAGCCACCCTATCAAAACATCATGGCATAATCCTTCTTTTCTAGATCCCCAGGATATTAATCCTAACCTAATGGGTATTTCCTTTCTACACCCAACTGCCCCGTTGATCTCCTCTTATAAGTCTGACCATATCTCACGGTCACATCATTTCCCGCCTCTAAGAGTCTCACCTTGTCCTCCAGGGGAAAATCTGAAAATTGGAGAGAAATGGTGTCAGCTATCTCCCATGAATTCTCAAACTCAGGTAAATCTCTCCATTTCACTAAAACCTCTAGCTGGCCTATCATAAGTTTCCGAACCTTGCATATGTCTTGAGGCTGTACTTGTAACTCCAATTCTGCAGAAAGTGCTGGTGGTATAGTAGGAGTGACAATAGCTGAACAAACTGATTTTTTGAGTTGAGAAATGTGAAAGACTGGGTGAATGCGAGCTGTGGAAGGAAGTTCCAGCTTGTATGCGACCTTTCCAATCTGCTCTATGATCTTGAAGGGGCCATAGAAACGAGGGCTGAGTTTCTCATTAAGTCTTTCAGCTAAAGATTTTAGCTTGTGGGGTCTGATTTTGACATAAACTAAATCTCCAATGTCCAGCTGTACCTCTCGCCTATGTTTGTCAGCTTGCTTCTTCAATCTTTCTTGCGCCACAGTGAGGTTTTCCCTTAAAATGGCAATAATGGAATTTCGGGGCTGAATTTGTTCATTGACAGCTTCAATGCCTGACGGTTCCTCATTCAGCTTAAAAAAAGTAGGAGGGTCCCGTCCGTACACCGCCTTAAAGGGTGTCATTCCAGCAGCCCCATGATGAGATGTGTTGTAACAATACTCAGCCCAAGGTAACCATTGTGCCCATTGGGTTGGTTTCTCACTGGTGAAACAACGTAGATAAGTTTCCAAGCTCCTATTCAAGACTTCGGTTTGGCCATCAGATTCCGGGTGGTAAGCAGAGCTAAGACAAAGCTGAGTGCTTGCTTGCTTAAATAATTCCTTCCAAAACTGACTTACAAACACCCTATCTCTATCTGACACAATTGTTTTTGGAAGCCCATGCAATTTAACAATGTCATTAATGAATCTTTCAGCAACTTCTTTTGCTGTAAATGGGTGGGTCAAAGCCAAGAAGTGGGCATATTTTGTCAACCTATCAACAACAACAAGTATGACGTCATGTCTTTTGGATTTTAGAAGTCCTGTAATGAAATCCATGCTAATATCTTCCCAAATTTGTTGAGGAATCGGCAAGGGTTGTAACAGCCTAGCTGGAGTTAATGCTTGATATTTGTTCTTTTGGCACACATCGCACTGTGACACATATTGTTGGATATCTTTTTTCATGCCTTCCCAATATACAATAGTAGAAAGCCTCTTGTAAGTGTGCAAATAACCTGAATGGCCTCCGGTTGGTGAATCATGAAATTCCTTCATGAGCAATTGAATCCTGGTAGACTTCTTTGGTAGCACCAATCGTCCTTTATAGTGTAGACAACCCTTCACAAGGCTGTATCCCTCCAAATTTCCTTGCTTGGTAATGACTTTTTGCAGTCTATCATTTAACTTGGGGTCAGCATGTACTTCTTTCTCCCATTCTTCAAGGTCACCTTGCTGCCATAAAGAAAAACCATGTATCTCCAGATTTTCTTCTTTCCTTGAAAGTGCATCTGCTGCACGATTTTCCTTGCCCGGCTTGTAAGCTATTTCAAACTTGAACCCCATTAATTTAGTGATCCAGTGCTGTTGACTTTCTTCTACAATTCTCTGTTCCAGCAGAAACTTCAAAGCCTTTTGATCTGTCTGGATGACAAATTTCTCCCCCCATAAGTAGTGTCGCCATTTCTTGACCACCATAACAATTGCCATAAGTTCCCTCTCATAAATGGAACATTGTTGAGCGCGGTTAGAGAGCTTTTGGCTGAAATATGCCACTGGACGGCTATTCTGCATCGGTACTGCTCCCATTCCAGACCCAGAAGCGTCTGTTTCCAACTCAAACGGGATGGAAAAATCAGGCATAGCTAGTACTGGAAGAGAAGTCATGGCTGTCTTGAGATTTTGGAAGGCTTCTTCAGCTTTTAGGGTCCATTTAAAGGCATCTTTCTTAAGTAAATCGGTGAGAGGACTAGCAATTTTTCCATAATTCTTGACAAATCTTCTATAATACCCTGTCAACCCTAGGAACCCTCTTAAGGATTTCACATTCTTGGGTTTAGGCCACTGCACCATACTCTCAATTTTGCTGGGATCCGCTTGCACTCCCTCCTTGGAAATGATATGCCCAAGATATTCAATTTTTGGTTGGGCAAAAGTGCACTTCTTAAGGTTGATCACTAGCTGGTTCTCTTTCAGGATAGACAAAACAGCTTTCAAATGTTTCAAGTGAGATGTTAAATCATGGCTATAAATAAGTATGTCATCAAAAAATACAAGCACAAATTTCCGAAGATGCTCTCGGAATATCTCATTCATTAAAGATTGGAATGTGGAAGGAGCATTGGTTAAACCAAAGGGCATTACCTTGAATTCATAATGTCCCTCGTGGGTTCTAAATGCTGTTTTATGTTCATCTCCAACCATGATTCTGATCTGATGGTATCCGGCCTTCAAATCCAGCTTGGTGAAGATGGCGGCTCCTTTTAACTCATCCAACAACTCATCTATAGCTAGTATGGGAAACTTGTCAGGCACCGTGATTTTGTTCAAGGCTCTATAGTCCACACAGAATCTCCAGCTTCCATCTTTTTTCTTAACCAACAAAATTGGACTTGAATAAGGACTTTGACTGGGCTGGATGATACCTGCTCTCAACATATCTTTCACCATCTTCTCAATTTGATTTTTGTGAACATGAGGGTACCGATACGGCCGTATGTTAGGAGGTTGTTATCTTGGTTTGGTTGCTATTGCATGATCATGAGAATGAGTTGGTGGTAACCCTTCAAAAGGTCGACAAACTATAGAGAATTGGTCCAGGAGGTTCTGAATTTTAGGTGTCAATTGTTTAGTTTCAGCTGTTGTTTCTTCAATATTCATCCCATTATATTTGATCATGTACCCCACCCTTCTCTTCGGGACGGATCAAATAAATGACTTAAGGGAAACCAAGGCCTTGGTTAAAGCAGGATCACCTTGTAAACACACCTTATTTCCTTTGTTACCAATCTTCATGGTCAGTTGCCCCCAGTTAACCTTTACTTCTCCTAAAGATTTTAACCATTCAACTCCTAGTACAGCATCCATGCCACTGAGTGGAAAGGGGTAGAAAGTTTGAATAATGTCCAGGCCTTGTACCTGTAACTTGAGGTCATTACAGCATTGCTTCCCTTTAATACTAAACCCATCCCCAACAGTGATAGAGTAGACGGCAATGTCCTCCACTGGAATTTTTATTTTGGTGACTAATTCCTCAGCTATGAAGTTGTGGGTAGCCCCACTATCAATCAAAATCACAATCTCGGCTTCCTATAGTCTCCCACGTACTTCATAGTGTGATTTCCTCCAAACCCAACTATGGAGTTTAGTGATAACTCCATTCGAGTTTCATCTTCTTCGGCTTCTTCACTATCTTCAATGCACATTGGTTCATGGCCTTCGGTTCCCTTCTCGGACTCTAGCTCCAGCAACATCACTTGCAGATTTTTATTTTTGCAGATGTGATTAGGTCCGAATTTATCTGCACATTTGAAACACAAATCGAGCTCTCGCCGACGAGTTAATTCTGCGTCTGACAGTCGCTGGGTTCGTCCCCCTGGACTCGACGACGCTGTTCCTGTCGTGTTGCTCGCCACTTTTGAGTCTGCCGTTTTTGTCTCAGCCCGTTTCTGGAGTCCCGAGTGTATTGAAGAGGTGTGCATGCTTTTACTGGGCTTAGCTACATGAGTGATCCGTGTGAAAGGAGTTTGGGCTGATTCATTTTTAAGCCCACTTTGAAAACGCTGGCCTCACAGAAACTGAGTCTTTGGCCTTCTCTATTACCTAATTCCTCTCATCCACCCTAATAGACATCTCCATAATTTCTCTAAGGGTACTGGCGGCTGTGAGCTTTAATTCAGCCCTTATCTTTGGTTTTAGTCCTACACAAAATGCCCCAACCACACACGGTTCTGATGCGTCTCCTACCATAGCTGATACGCGTTCGAACTCCTCCACATACTCGTGCACAGAACGCTCCTGTTTGACTGCAAACATCATCTCATATTCATCCCCAAGCTGTGAGGGATGGAATCGATGCAGAAGTTCTTGCTTGAACTCTGACCATTCTCGGATAGGTGCTCGAGTTTCCACCCATTGATACCAGTTAAGAGCTTTACCTTCGAGGCACACGATGGCTGCTTCCAGTCTCTCCATTTCAGCCACAGCATTGATTTGAAAATACCTTTCCACTCTGAAAAGCCGCCCGATAGGGTCATCTCCATCAAATATTGGTAACTCCAGCTTCCTGTACTTCCCTACTTCTTTTTCATGATCTCCGGTGCTTCCTGTAGTCTCTTCATGGCTGGGTTGATCTTGTTCAGGAGGTTGGTCTGCACTTTTTTGTTTCTCTGCTATTTGCTCTAATTTATCTTGCATCGTCTGCATCATCTCCTTCATCATGGTCATTTCTTTCGATAGTCCTCCAACAGATTCTTTTAACTCTTGTACCTCGGGATTGGAGTACTGCACTCTTTTGGCCATCTCTCTTGTGCTTATTAGAGGGTCCGAGGATTGCATGGCTCTGATATCAATTGATAGAGCTCTGCTCTAAAGTAACTAATAGAACTAAGCTTTCAATGCAAAGAGAAATAAATGAGGGAAATTCTAAAGTTTTTGATATTAATGCATATGAACCGAATCAGTGTTACAAGAGAAACTCACTGATTTTAGCCAAAACCCTATTCCCTATGACTGAAATTACAAACCAAATGGAAGAACACAGCAACAAGAAAAGGTCTCTCACTGGTGTTCGAGAGACCAGCACTCTTCTCACTTCTGTCTAACTTCTCTAAAACATCCTTGAGTGCCAACAAAAATAATACAGCCAAATAAAGCAAGCAAAAAGGTGGCTTCAATATCGAGACTAAATCTAAGCCACCCTATCAAAACATCATGGCATAATCCTTTTTTTCTAGATCCCCAGGATATTAATCCTAACCCAATGGGTATTTCCTTTCTACACCCAACTGCTCCCTTGATCTCCTCTTATAAGTCTGACCATATCTAACGGTCACATCATTCATCAAGGAGACTGTATTGTGTTTGGTAAGAGACATTTGGATTGCCCTGAAAATTAGTTTTTTCTGAATGCAACACCATAAAACGAAAAGTTTTCATGCAACGAAAGGTGGAACATTTAACACACAAAATTAAGAAAAATATCGTCTAATATATTTGTTTCTTGCTAGAAGAGTAGAATGCTCTTTCTTTGGTTTACTAGGTGATGAATATCGCATACGCTTTGATATTATGGTGTAGTGGTGGATAAATTTCCTTAGGTGTTAATATCTTGGGTTTATTTTATATGACATGTAATGCCTGATTTTGCAAATCTGTTGAAAGTGGTTCTTGGGATCGTGTCTTAAAACTTGGGTATAGCTCTTTGCATTTTGAAGTGTAGGTTTGGCTCAACTCATTCTGTAAGGATGGTAGTACAAAACTTTTGTCTGTCTTACTATACCCTCTTAGCTAGCTCCTTTTATATATAAATTAGCACTACCATTTCAGTAAAATTGCTGACATGCTATCTCCTCGGCTTCCCATTATAAGTTATTTTGCCTCTTACTCTTCTAATTTTTCTACACTAAGATTTATAACTTTCCTCTCCTGACTATGGTGGCCTGAGATTCCTGAAAAGGAAACTTTTAGGACCAATCATTAAGTTTAGCAACAGAAAAAACTGAAGTTTAATTGAACTTATACAGGTGATGTTGGAAAAAGAAATGTGTAAAATATGTAAAATACTATTAAAAAAAAAGGGCTTTCCTAATAGCTCAAGGTTGAATTTTCTCGGAGGTAATTTATAAATTTTGGCAATGTTGAAGTTATGTATAATTCAGGGAGCATGCCTTGTGTTTTTATGAACATGCCCTGAGTGAGAATGCTGCATGTCATATATTTTCTTGTCAAATGTTTGAGCAAAGCTATAGGATTTCCCATCATGGAAGATTTACAAATTACAAATAAGCAGTAATAAATAAGAAAATCACAGAACACTCGTGATGACTGATGTGTGAAATTTTTTCACATGGTTATGACACACGTTAGTCAAAATGCAACCAATAACAATTGATGAGGGATTTAAACATTTGGTTGATGATTAATTTATAATATACGTAAGTTTAAATGTTTATCAGTATTTTTGTTCATCAAAGTCTTGTTGCCTTCCAGGAGTACTATTACACGTGAGAAGTTTGAAGAGCTCTGTGAGGATATCTGGGAAAAATCTCTTTTGCCCGTGAAAGTGTTGCTTGAGAATTCAGGGTTGGCGGCTGACCAAATATATGCGGTGGAGTTGCTAGGAGGTGCAACCAGAGTTCCTAAACTCCAGGTTTGAATTTCATTCCTTTCCATTACTTATTTTGGTAATTGTTGTGTGAGAGGGAATTATTCTTACTAGCTTGTCCATTAATTTAGCTAGCAGTTGCTAACTAGGCAAACTGTTTGGGTCCTATACTTACCTAGTCAGCAACTGCTTAGTAACTTCTTTGACTAATTAGTCATAATTATTCCCTCACATGTAACATTGGTACATATTTAGGCAAGGGTGGGATTACTTTGATATATAAGCCAAACTCTTGAGCTCTCCGCATTAGCATATCATCTAGACACAATAAGTTTTCCATATGATATGACTTTGAATACAGAAGTTAATCTATGAGCCATAACTCCATGCAGAAATTTAATTTGTTAGTTGTTACTGTTTAATGTGCTAGAGCCTAGAGTGCTGGATACTATTTTGGTTGAATTAATTTGAACTATTAACTTGTCATTGGTGCCTTCAAGAGGTGGCTGCTAAGTATTTTCCAGAAAAAGCAAATGAAAGAGCACAGCTCTTTTGTTAGCAAGATTGTATGCAGAAATAGGTGTTAATGAAAATGACTATGTTTATATGTCAACCACCTCCCTCACATAGTTCAAAAGATATAATTGTTGCATAACTATTGTTACTAGAAACCGCAGTAATGTTTTTTTTCTTTTAATCTGGCTCAGATGTTTCAAAATTTCTTGTTGTATGCAGCATTGGCAGTTCACTTTTACTGGCGGTGTTTTGGTAATGAGCCCAAAATATTCCATTATCTTCTATTCCTTCTATTTCAGGCTAAGCTTCAAGAGTTCCTTGGGAGGAAAGAACTTGACAGACATCTTGATGCGGATGAAGCTATAGTTCTAGGCGCATCACTGTATGCTGCAAATTTAAGTGATGGAATTAAATTGAACCGGAAGCTGGGAATGGTTGATGGTTCAATGTATGGATTTGTGGTTGAGCTGAATGGTCCTGATCTCTTGAAAGATGAAAGCACTAGGCAGTTGCTTGTACCACGAATGAAGAAGGTCCCAAGCAAGGTAAATCAAAGAGGATTAAATTTATATTTCATGTGACAGCATGATACAGAGTTGACAAAGTGATTAGTCGCTCTCCAACTCAGTTAATAATCCGTAGTTACAATTTCTGCTCAACAGATGTTCAGATCAATTATCCATAACAAAGATTTTGAGGTTTCACTAGCATATGAGAGTGAAAATCTTTTGCCACCTGGCATTACCTCTGCTGAAGTTGCTCAATATCAAGTATCTGGTTTGACAGCTGCAACTGAGAAGTAAGGATAAACATCTTTCGTGAATTATGGACATAATTGCTGATTTAAGCTTCTTACTAGAATAACTTTCAAACCTCAGATGGTTTGATAGTCTTCTGCATCTGCTTTTCACTAATTTTGTAGGTACTCATCTCGGAATTTGTCCTCTCCCATAAAAGCAAATCTGCATTTCTCTCTTAGTAGAAGTGGAATCCTTTCTTTGGATCGGGCAGATGCTGTTATTGAAATAACAGAGTGGGTGGAAGTTCTTAGAAAGAATCTGACCATAGAGAATGCTACTTCTGATTCTTCAAACTTGACATTGGAAACTGGTGGGAGGAATAGTTCTGAGGAAAATGGTGAAAACTTGCAAACTGATGGAGGGATTAGTAAGACGTTGAATGCTAGTACAGAGGAGCAAACTGCTGCAGATTCTGGTATAGAGAGAAAGCTGAAGAAGCGAACCTTTAGGGTGCCATTGAAGGTGCAGCCTAGCTGACAAACAGCTTTTAATTTAAAAATGCTATATGGAACCTCTTAGCATGTGTACCCCTTGCTTAAATTTCCAATTTTTTTTCCCTAGATTGATTCAAAGCTGATGGGACCTGGAATGCCTCTGTCAAAAGAGTTTATAGCTGAAGCTAAGGACAAATTAGAGGCATTGGACCACAAAGATGCAGAGAGAAGAAGAACAGCAGAATTAAAGAACAACTTAGAAGGATATATATACACAACTAAGGAAAAGGTTGGTAGATAACAATATGCTCATGATTTCCTTTTTCTTAATATATTTGTTTTCAGTGATACAAGGGGTTTCTAAAATTTTATTTTGTATGATAGTTCATGTTCTCTTTTGTTTGAGATTTCCATTATCGTTTTAACTTCAACCAAAGGCTCACTTACTATGTTATTTAGTTTTCTGCAGTGAGTATCCAAAGGTCCCCTTTGGAAAGAAAAACATTCATTGAAGGAAAAATATGAATTTACAACAATGAGGCATGACCAAGCCTCAGAACTCTTTCTAACTTAAATTACTGTTGTTCCTTCTGTTGACTTTTGTTTAATATCTTATCCTTGCACTTTGTCATCATCAATTTGAGGCAGAACTCTTTCTATAACTCTAATTTTATTAACCTTTTTGAAGTTTGTTAAAAATAAAACTATCTAGCTATACATATAAAACTTCTAATGCTGTTATTCCTCATTGTACCAGATTGAAACTTTGGAGGATTGTGCAAAGGTTTCTACTAATGATGAACGCCAATCATTTGTTGAGAAGCTTGATCAGGTTCCACTTTTCTCCCTGGACAATTCTTTATTTATTTTTTCTGGTTTGAGATTGTTGACTTAAGTTTCTTGGAATGTGTCAGGTGCAAGATTGGTTGTATATGGATGGAGAAGATGCGAATGCCACAGAGTTTCAAGAGCGTCTGGATATGTTAAAAGCAGTTGGTGATCCGATTTTCTTCAGGTATGTTGTTTTCTTAGTAAGGTGCTAGATTTGTTGATTTTCGCTTACTATGCCTTTATAGCATGTTGAAATTTGTCTGAACCAATTAAAATCCTTTGCAGATTGAAGGAGCTTACATCTCGACCAGCAGCAGTTGATCATGCTCATAAATACCTTAAAGAACTGCAACAGGTACCTTTACCAGGCTTCTAGTGTAATGTGATGATTAGAAGTTATCTTTGTTTTCTCTAGGAATTGTTTGATATGTGATAGTATCTGGTTTGCTTTGAAAATATATAATGACTAAAATTAATGTTTCTATGTACTAGAGTGATCAATAATCTATAATCATTTGTGTCCTTGTGTGTAGCACATCCTTTTCCCTTTAAAATAAAGGTAGGTTCTGGTTATGTGACAAGCCTCATTGTGCTAGTGTGGTGTGACTTGAACAATGAAAATAAAAGAATCTTGAATCATCGAGCTTGCTCTTCATAAAATACTTCCCAAAGAGCCTGCAAGAATGGTAATGAACAAATCAAAGGACACATATTCATGGAAAAGGGGTAGAGTCGATAATTCGAGCAAGGCAGGCTTATTCTAGTCGAGCTCAATTCGGGCCGGGCTTATTCAAATTGGGCTTGAAGTATCCTACTCTCTTAAAAATGCCATATAACCAAGTATGGCCATAACTTTTTTTAGTCGGGTTTGGGTTTGACTAAAATTACCAACTCTATATACATATAGAGCTGAAAATTCTAGTAGTTGGGCTTATTCGAGCTAAGCGCAATTCGAGTTAGATTTAAAATATCATACCCTATTAAAAAAGCCCCATAATCAAGCCCAACCTTAATTTATTTGAGGGCGGGTTTGGGCTAGCTCGAATTACAAACTCTAAAAATGGGGTAAAAGATTGCAGCACAATGAAACATTGCCATATACCATTATCTAATTTAAATGGCAACATTTTTCTTCTTTTTCTATTATTTATCAAGTTTTCATTATGTTGGCACTCTGGCGCGGATCTGCCCACTTCCAGATTTAAGTCAATATATGTGATCCTTTTTAAAGTGTATAAATTATATTATTTCTGTGTTTCTTATTTGAGCCTATTGAATGCCTTAAAATAGACCTTTAGTTTATTGGCGTGGTTTTCGAAACTGGACAGATCTTCAATGTACCGAAGTTATCAAGTTCTTACTAGATTATTGGTTCAACCATTGAGTCACCAATTAAACCATTTGAGCAGGGTCATATTTAGAACAATATAAAATATTGTTTTTGATATGTAAACAATATAAAATAAAAAAATCATATATTTTATTTAAAATGCAAGCATTTCAATGAATAGATCTGCATAAAATATAAAATTTATAAAAAGCCACATTATTTATAAACCATGAATTGTTGAACTCACCTCAAACTCTACAATCACAGGCTCGGAATCTAGTTCTCCTTAAAGGACTCTATGTTATTTAATTAATAGATGGAAAAGTAAATATTATATTTGACATAGACATGTAGTCTTCTTTTGTATTATTAATTTATAAGTATTTAAAAACAATGTTTATATTAAGAAACCTGATTAAGAAAACGTTGATAAAAGTATTCTTTAAACCCCACATTGGAATGCATGTTGAAAAAATGATGATAATTTGCCAGTGGACTGTCCTAGTATGAGGGTCCCACATTAATCTATGGCATCTCAATCAGCCGTTAGTAGATGGAGATAGTAGTCTCAAACCTTTTTACTTGAAAGTCAGGCCGTTGGCTTCCACGATATGTTGTATTGTAATATAATTAATTGTTTTCTGCCACATGCAGATTGTAGAAGGGTGGAAGAAAAACAAGTCTTGGCTTCCAACAGAAGAAATAGATGGGGTATTTGATTTGTATTGGTTGTGCTTATTGGTTTCGTGAACTTGAGCATATGAATGCGGTGCTTACATTAAATTAATATTTTTTATCTGGTAGGTTGTCAGAGATGCTGAGAAGTTAAAGAATTGGTTGGATGAGAAGGAGGCTGAGCAGGCTAAGTGAGTTCCTGTTATTGTTTTCATGTTGTTTTGTTATAAACTTATTATTTGTTTTTTCCTTGATAATTTGTGCATTGAGTATGAAATAATATGTATGTATGTATGTATGTATGTATGTATGTATATTAATTCAAACATGAAAATTCCAGACATGCTTTGAATGCGAGATATTCTTAACTAACACTCGTTTGTATCATCATGATTAAATCATATATCGCATGGCTAATTTCAAACCTTGCACCTTCCCTTCTCTTTTATTTGAGGTAAAAAGAGGTAAAAAGACCGAGTGGACTTGCCTAGTTCAGGCATACATTTTACTTTGAGTTCAAGTAACCATATTTACTGTGTCCGTCTGAACATTTTCGAAGATTTGAATTTATGTAGCTCTTTTAAAGCACTTATTTATCGTTTTAGAGTCTGAACCTGCTGAGGAAGTTTCAATTTTCTTACGTTAGCTTTGGTTTATCCAGTCATTAATTTCCAATTCTGTAATTCCTTTGTTAGGACTTCTGCATTTAGCAAGCCAGTATTCACTTCCGATGAAGTATATCTGAAGGTATTTGACCTGCAAAGCAAGGTATTGTCTCTTACCTTTCATGATTAAGATGGAATATGGTATTAGCATGTGATTGAAGGTCCTCGGAAGATTAGTACAACTTTGGTTGAATTTTCTCTGTACCTTTACAGGTTGCCAGGATCAATAGAATCCCCAAACCCAAACCTAGAATCCAGAAACCCCCAAAGAATGAAACTGAGAGCAGGAACAACACTGACACTGCAAACAACACGTCAACAGATGGTGCTCCCCAAAGCGATCAACCAGAAATTGAGAACCCAGAAGCCCATCATGCTCCTCAAAGCGATCAATCAGGGGATGACACGGAAGGCACAAGAAAGGAATTGGTTGATGAGGAACCCCAAGGTCATGATGAATTATGATTGAGGCTCATTTTTCCTGGCAATGCATGTAGACCTATATCCAATCATCTACATGCAAAATTTGAAGTATAGACTGGCAATGATAAAACAAAAGGGAAGATGCGGCAATATCAGTTTTCGGTGTGCCTGCTGCCATGGAGTTTTGGCAAATATTGTGCCGCTGGATGATTTTGCTTATCATTTTTGGGCTTAGTTCTAGGAATTGGTCCCTCTGGTGGAATTTTACGGCCATTTGAAGGGGTTATATTTGGTGAACTGCTTTAGGTGATATATAGGGAATACTAATTATCTTTGCACATGACATGCAATGTGAGAAATTTTGCTAGAGCCATCAGCTTCCCTAATAGCTTGAAAGTAATTATGTTCTATTATACTTAACTAGAATTTTTACTCCATTGTACGTTATAGATTTCTAATCTTACCACTAAATGTGATGATTTTGTCTTGGACCATGCTTAAAATTGGGAAGACAAATTATGCTACCCTTTAAATAAACCTGCACATTTTCAAGGAAGTTACAAATAAATCGTTAAGTTGATGCTATTACCCTTGTTAAGAATGGCGGAGCATGATGGAATATCTCTTATTTGTGTGATTTATTTTCACTGATTTATCAAAGTAGGTTTTAAAACTGTCACAAATTAGCTGCATAAACTTTGGTCTTTTTCGAGCACAAATTAAAAAAGGGGGGGGGGGAACAAAAATGTCTGGGAATTTTTCCTCCAAAAATGCCTAGTATTTTAAATTTTTTTTAATAGTAATGGCACTTTCAAACTTTCAAAAATAGTAAGCCATTAGTCTGATCATGTGTTGACTGTTAAATTGAAAGTTTAATCAGATCAATGTCTATCTGGACTAACATGTGAACTATTCATGTAGAATGACTTATTTATATTGTTTCTATCATTTATTTATTTCTGAAATCATTTATTTGTTTCTAAAATGTATTTACTCTTGATTAAATACCTCACCAACCCTCAACATCTCCATTGAAAAAGTTCTTGAGCAATATGAGGGCTAGGCGAAGGGAAGTTGAGGGAAGCCATGGTTGAGTCAATGTCGTTCGCAAGCATGGATTCTCAAAGGAGTCTTGCTATGCTTAGGAGATGTCAAGAGGTTCGGTGTGATAGTCTGACTAGGTATTGTCACTGTGATGTGGTGGCTCAGCAATGGATGTCTTGAAGCGAGGAAAATCCAAAGAAAATGTTTATGGGTGCCCAAACTATCAACAGGTTTGGGTGTTGTTCTATATTCTCCTTTGGACCCTCTTCTTCTTCTTATTGAAATGGGTTGGCCGTGACTGTGTATAGGGAGGATGTGGGTTTTTGGTCTTGCACAATGTTGAGATGAGGGAGAGGGCGAAGGAAGTCATTAATGAGTTGTTTTGTCTTGTGGATTATTTGTCTGATGAGCATAGCGGAAGTGCAAGGCATGAAGGAATCAAATACACTAATGCTAAGGGTGATGCTATGTTTGAAGTGAAGAAGATGCAGAGGAGGTTGAAGAAGATCTTGAATGTAGCTGTGTCATGTGTGGTGATGTTGTGGGGTTTTTTTTTTTTTTCTTGTTTGAAAATACTCAAGTGTTTTCAGTTGCAGGAAGCAAAGGTCGTGGTCTTTTTTTGTTACCCAAAGTGGAGTGTTGGATGAAGCTTCTGGGTTGTATTCCTGTGTTAATGTTTTTGAAAGGGTTATGCATTGTGAAGATGTATTTATTGATCATTAGTGAATGTTGATATTTGGTAACATTCCCTTCGTATTAATGAGTAAAATGAATAAAAATGACTCAAAATTGACGCCATTCTCTCTATAACAACAACCTGTCTAAAAGTAAATTGTATTAACAATCACAAATGAGAACATGAATTGCAAAGTAAAGTGATAAGTAGAGCTGATAATTCGGACCAAGCCTGACAAGGCAACCAAAACCTGCCCCAAAAAAGTTAAAGTCGGGTTTGACTATATAGACTTTTTTAAAATGACATGATACTTTAAGCTTGGCCTAAATTGAGCTCCATCCAAACTAAGCCCAATCCAAATAATTCTGACCATTGGAATTATTGACTTTATATGTATGTATAGTTGGTAATTTTGGCCAAGCTTAACGAGCCAACCCAAACCCAATTGAAAAAAGTTACAGCCGAACTTAATTATATGAACTTTTTTAAAAAGGTAGAATACTTTAAGTCCGATTTGAATAAGTTAGACCCATCTGAATTATCGGTTCTAGTGACAATTATAGCAATAAGTGACAAGTTGTATCATGATGAAACCTCACCACTTTTAACAAGTTCTCTAATTACCAAACCCTCACCACCTTTAGCTACCATCCCCTTATCTCTCTTTCCCTTACCCTTTCTACCATCATTGGCCAAAATGGCCTCAACTACTAAGCTATGTGTAAGGTTACCCTCATTAATCTATAATTAACTCTAAAACCTTAGTAATCACAGGGTTAACTTAAGAGAATTACCAATTCATTTGCAAAGCCAATTATCTAAGTAGTAAATTCATATCATTAGGACCCTAAATTTTCAAACTTTTAAAATTCTATAATATAATTAACAAAAATCATAGTAAAATACGTTCACAAAAGCATAGAATACCAAATTGTATCAAAGCATTTGAATTCAAGTTGAAAAATAAGGGGTCACTACAATAAAGTAGAGGCGTGTTGCGGCACATTTATCATTGTGCTATGCACCATGACATATTACACAGATTTAATAGCAATTAGGGCAAACTTCCAACATGTTCCATCTTTGTTTGAGGTCTAAATAAAGCGATGTAGGTGTCTACAAACAACTTGTTAAAACCTCTAACTAATGATACTGGTTTTACTTACAAACTATTTTACAATCAAAGTTAAATACGTAAATGCAAACTCACTCTTTTTTGCTTTTAAAACATAATTAGGGTATCTAAAATCACTATCAAGTGCCATAAACATACAGTTACCATTTAATCACATTCAATAGACTAAAGGATACATGTGCAATACATTATAGCACTCCTATAACATACACAACACACTTGATCACAAAAATATAAGGGGAGTCAATTTCATATGAGATATGAATATACTCTTTCACAATCAATTTTATAATCAACATCATAATTATACTAATATTTTGGCCCTACTAAGTATCACAAATCACAATTATAACCTAGAGCCCAAAATACAACTTCCATTGACATTAATAATAGTGTAAGTAAATTGCAAAAGAATGCAATCCCCTAGTTGGCAATATCAATTGTGAATACACATGGTCATTCAAAATAGAGCCCTACTATTACTAACGAAATATCCTAGGCCTCAGGTGCTTTTTCCTTGTTCTGGCTTGAGCTAATTCCTATAAATATTATAGAGAGAGAAGTAAGTACAATCATTCAATAACTAAAGTTAATCTAGCCTATATAAATACATGTCAATTAATTATACTGATACAAGTGCATTTACAACACTTTCACAAATTTATACTTTTCTTTTAAAATTATTAGCCATGACCATAATACTAACAATTATATGACCGAACACAACATATGTCATATTACATATTGATATTAATCATCAATTCATACAAGAGAACACAATTATAAAAACCTGTGCCCTTTATTATTATGTAAGACTACAATAATAATAACCATATGGTCATATTATATTATGCATGATTAATGCCATCTTTATACCCTTTTAATACCTTTGACATAAAACAATTGGCTATAATGGGATTCGTCCATGTAATAAAACTACCCAAGCCTTTTCTTGTGAAGAGTTGCTCTGCCAAAGATACTACATTCACTTATGAGTCACAGTTTCTCTTAATACTAACAACTATAAAGTGTCATACCACTGAGCTAACCTCTTCTTAAACAAGTGAAAATTAATTAGGTTTAAGTCTTTCATTGAACAAGTGAGATAATATAAATAAAGAGACAAGCCATCAAGCTTCAAATGACGATCATACCACATGAATTTAGAAATCTCTACTCCTCTCCTTAGGTGAACTCTCACCTCAATGATCATGCAATGCACATATACTCAATTCATGATATGCATACACTTATACATCAATTCTTCTCATACAAATTCTCAAGTACTACATTCGTTACATGCATATTCAATTATCAAATTTACTCACATAATTTTCTATCCATAGCATTTATTCACTTTTCTCAATCTCAACATTTTCCTCTCAGCCTCATTGGCATCACATCATCATTACATCATATTTCTCATGTATGTTCTCATGTTTATGCTCAAAAAAATCATTTATCAACATTTCACATACGTCATATCACCAATACTTAAATCAATAACGTATGCCACATTTGCATTTAATACATGTTCAAAACATATTCTTCTTTTTCAAAATAAGTTATAATTGTTTATAACTAATAAATGCATAAACTAATTTTTTTTTCAGTTATTTCAAACTTTTAAGAGGTTAAAGGTTTATCCCTCAATATAAATACTTCCAAAGCACTAGTCAAGCTTTAAAAAAATATGACTTTTAGTTCTTAAACTTATTCTAAATTATTGATTTAATTTTTAAACTTATGACTTAGAATAATTCAGTTTCTACATTTTCTTGACTTAGAACAACCCAGTTTTTATAATTTTTCTAGTACAACTCATTTCTTATAATTTCTTAACTCAATAAATTATAAGAATTGAGTTGTTTGAGTTAAAATTTGAGGAATAATTAAGAGAAAATTTGGAGATAAAAGCTATATTATTCCTAAAAATTTTACAAAATACAAAAGAAACTTAAAAATGTCACTCTCAAATACGGCATTCAATTTCAACAGGCATTTTGGTCACAACACTTTTTTGTAAAAAAGGCCCAAGGTCCTTAAGAGTAATTTCAATAATTCAAAATTTCTATTTATAGTTAATTTCAAAATATACAAAAAATAGAGCCGTAATGTAATCTTGAGCTAGCTTTTCATCTTAAATTAAAAGAAAACGTTTTTAAGTTAATCGAGTAACTAGAACTTTAATACTGTATCTCCATTTAAACTTTGAGGGAGTTTCTTTTAGTGCTTCTCCTCTTTAATCATTGTAAGCCAAGGCTACTATATGTATCCTTTAAAGACAAATAAAAGATGAGCTATCTTTGTTTATCCCAAAAAAGGGGGGGGGGGGGTAAGGTGTCTCTTGGTAGAAAGAACTCTTGTTGTTACACAGAGTGAGATTGTAAAATAATTTGATTAACGATTAGGCATAGGCTCAAGAATAGAGTTAAATCATTATAAACCTCTAATTTGCACTCTCTCTATTCTTAATATCTTTATATTTCCAATTGATTATTTTGAAGGTCCGTTTTATATATATGTTATTACTATGCTTGTAGAATTGCATACTAGCTGCATTTTTTTCTCTCATAAGGCACTAAACATGATTTTACAAAGCATTAAGATATACAATACCTCAAAACACAATTTTTATAAAGCAATGATAAGTTGAAAAAAAAAAAGAATAATTTCCCTTTAGTTAATTATTTTTGTGCGTCACATTGAATTTTTTAAATTAATTATAAACAAAGACCTTGGTACTTTTCCTTTTAAAAAAATTACAAATCATAAAAAAGAAAAAATTGCAAATGGCACTCTCAGATTCAGCAATATTCAATTTCAACGGTAGGGAGCTGAACAAGTTCTTTGTTTTCTTAATAGAAAAATTATGAGCCCCACAAAAGAAATTTACAAATACCACTTCCAAATTCAGTGTTCAATTCCGAGGGACATTTCGGCCAAACACTTTTTTCCCCAGAAGACGACTAATGTCTTTACTCTTTATGAGTAATTTCAAAAGTTCAAGATCTCTTTTTTGTAATTCATTTCATTATAGGGTCCCTATTCATAATTACCCCATATTCCCTACTAGCCTCATTGCAATGGTGAAGCCAGCTAATGAGAGTAGAGAAGAGGTGTAGGCAGAGACATATTTATTAAATTAAAAAAATAAAGTTGAATTGACAAAGTCAAAAAGTGAGAAAGTGTAAAGCTGAAGTAAAAGCAATAATAGGTAGCAGCACATGAAGAATTTCACCGGATGGGGATGAACATGCATGGGGCCAGGAATGATCTATGATGCAAATCTTTAACTAAAAATGGTGAATATTTGTGTGGTTGTGTGAAAGAGGAATATTGTTTTAGTTTTAGTTTTTTTTTTTTTTATTCACAGTGATCACATTGTGACTTTGTCTCTTGTTGTGTCCTTTTCTTTCTCTTCTGCAGAAAGCTCTGAAGAGATTTCTTCAGAGAGAGGCCTCCATGACCATGACCACCACTTCCATACATCAAAGCTTGAGATTGCACCCAAAATGAAGATGATAATGATGATGATGTTGTTGTTGTTGATGATGATGATGATGATGATGAAGTTGATGATGATGATCCTCTCCTTCCCACTCTCTCCTCCATTTCTCTATTTGCCAACCATATTATCACCCTTGCCTACAATCATTAATTATTTCCAAAATTCACATTATTTTTCTCCCACAAATTCAGCAATAATACAGATAAAATTATTTTTCTCTAACACAGTGGCATAGTTTGATTTATAAAATATACATAAGGTAAAAATTAGGATTATTGTGTTATATGATTGATAACCAACGTAAAACTCAGTTGAATAATCTGACACGTGTGTGTATAGAGTACCTGAATTTCTGTAACATCGATGAAGCATCGGCGTCCATTGTGAAGAATCTGGGGATGGTGGTGTGTTATGTCGAAAGGCTCGTTACTGTGGCATTGTTGCAAAAAATTGCGAACACACACAAACTATATTAATTATTAGATGAATGAATAATTATTAACAAATTAATTAAATCAAAAGAGCAGAGATTAGAGAATGCTTACATCGAATTGCGACGTTGAAGGCCAAGCTCTAACTCGCAGTTTCGCTTCATCGTCGATCGACCCAAATAATAAATTTCTTAAAAACCGTCAGAAAAATAAAACCAGTAGAGAGATATACAGTGGAAGAGACAATTCACTTTGAAGAGGTCGTATATAAAGTGTCAGTTGGGGCAAGAAAAGAACAAAAAAAAAAATTATGATAATAAAAAATATAATTTGACTTTGCACGTGTAAAATGAGTTACATATGCGGCAAGCTTATGAGCCATTTACTTTCTTTTGGGGCAAAAATAATAATAATAATAATAAACAGATTTTCTTTTACAATCCTAAAAAGTGAGAACAGTGTTAACGGCTTGGGAATCGGGTGGTTATTAATTTGTTATAATTATTTTTTATTTGATAATTTATTATTGTTTATTTATTTTGTAAAAGCATAATATTATTTTGTGTACCTGATACTCGTTGAAATTAATTTTATAGTTTTAAAATTATAATTTTAATCTTATACTCCTTCCGTTAAAAAATATAAGATATTTTTAATCAAATTTCACCCCAATAAAGTAGTTACTTATTTTTAAATTAATTCTATTTTTTTATATTTATCTTTATTAAACACTCTATAATAAATATAAAGTCAGTATCAATAGAAACACTTTTGAAAAAAGACAATGATTACACCTCAAAAGATTAAGAATGCCTTATATTTTTTAACATTCAACTCTTCAAAAAATACCTTATATTTTTTAATAAAGGGAGTATATGAATGTCATGATGTTATTTTCATTAAAATAATATTAAATTTTAATTTTTTTTAATATTGAGAACATTAAAATAGAACTTTTGAAAATAATAATAATAATAATTTCTGAAAATACCGATGATGATTAATTTGAAGATCATTATATACTTTAATTTTTTATTATTCTTCACTATCATCAGTATATAAATATACAGCGAAATTTATAGCCAGCCATAATATTTATATATGATGAATAATGCAACTCATTTATAAAATTTTATACATGGTATGGTAAACCATGATTTTTTTTATATAAGATAAAAGGGAGTTATTTACAAATAGACTTGACAATATTTGAATATGACCTAATTAGATAGATAGTCTTGTCAAAAACTTAAGAACACTATGAAGATAAGTTATTCATATATTGTATGAACAATTCAGCTCATCTTTTATATTCTATGCAACATTAATCATCAAAGGTATTTAAAATTGAATCAATTATTGAACTAGTCAAGACCAATATTTTCATAATCAGACTGAATATTGAATAGGAAAGGCCAGCAGTTCAAGGTTCGCATAGTTAAACCAATGACATAATAATTAAATAAAAATAATATTAACTTTATATATAAAATAAATACAAGAAAAAACTATAATATGTTAGTAAAATGACATAACATGACTGTAAATTAATAATATTATACCTTGTTAAATATAGGTAGATCTTGATTAAATTAGATATAAACAGATTTAAAAGTATCAGTGTTTGCATCCATAATTGTCAACAACTTTATAAAAAAAAAATAGCCTCAAAACATTTACACATGTGAATTGTTTTAAAATAAAATTACCTTTTAGTAGGATCTAATTTTTAAAGTTTTCTACTTTTTTAAATTTCTTAAGTTTTTTCAATGTTATGTTTAAAACTGTCTGTTTTTTAAAACCGCTCCAATCTTTGATTTAACTTTAGTTTTCGGCTCAATCATAAAAATAATTTTTTATTCAAGATTGAGCCATTAACAGTTCTAATCAATCATCCGACTGTTTAGTTCAGTCATGTTTTTAAATAATTGGTCAAGACACATGTTTAAAAGTTAATGGTTAAAATTATAATCAAAAGTAATTATTTGAAATCATAAACAAAATAATTTATTAAATCAATCAAAATACTATTTCAACTAGCTAAATTTACTTGAATTCCAATACTATATACATGCTAACCGCTCATCCTGGTCCGTGTATGTAGAAATTAGAGGAACTTCATGACTGAATGTGAAACGGGATGTTGAAATAGCAAAGGCTGCAAATTGAATCACGTGGGTTTTAATGAGTTGCAGCTGCCACTGTTGGCTCATTTATAGTGGGAAACTTTCCATTTTGGGAAAGTAGGTCTTTTGAATAATGACTTGTCACCCAACACTTGCCTGTTTTAATTTGCCTCCCTTCTCTATGCCTCTCTCTCCATCAATGTCTTCCCGTGCTTTTAATGTTCCATCCTTCACACGTGATCACATTGCCAACCTCCCCATCAATTTCATTATTTTTTTTAAAAAAGTTAAACCTGAAAAAAAACACAATTCAATTTTTTAAAGGAAAATTTTACAATCTGAGACCCAAATGTTAAAATATTTAAATTGGAAAATTTTAGAAATAGATCACTAAAAAAACCACGTAAATTCATCTCTCATATCATTAGAGTTTAACTCATTATCAGAAATTTGGCAGGGTTTTATGTTGGTTGTCGATGATCTAATATAAGTATATAACCCTCCTCCATTTATCCAAATTTTGGACTAGCCAAAATTGTTTTTTGTGTATGATACTCTTTTCATCCTGAATTATAAAATACTTTTAAATAAAATTTTACATGTCAATAAGTTTTATTAAATACATTTAACAACTTTATCTTTTCAAAATAAAAATATAAACTTTCAAAAATACTTATCATTTAATATATTGAAAAAAAAATAAATGAAAATTAATTATAAAAAGAGAAATAATAATATTAAAATTGATGCATTTAATAAAATATTAATATACCCAATATGTCTTATATTTTAAAATGGAGAAATTTCTTTAAAAATATTTTATAATTTAATACGGAGGGAGTACAAAATTAGTTGGTGAGGTAGACCTTTTTATGTAATTTAAGATAAGCCGCCTATGACTTGTAAATGGTGTGACTTTATATATATGGTTAAAGCATAAATAATTTGTCTTTGAAATTTTTCATTAGGTATAACTGGTTTTTTTAACTTTTAATTAGCACAATATCACCCACAAAGTTTCTAAAATAATGCAATGTTACCTAATAGTAATGTTTGATCAATATTAATAATTAGTTGAATAATTATGAAAGTTAAAGAGCATTTTTGTCTCAAAAGTTTACCTGAAGAAGCAATTTTGTCCCTTGTTATAGACTTGCTCATAGATATAAAACAAGGCAAGTTCGAAAAGTGCTCTAGTAAAGTTAGTTTTGCACTTAGTCAATTAGACAAAGCATATATAGTTAAAAACTAGCAATACAAACTATTTTTTTGAATTAAACATTAATAACCCAAAAATATTGTATTAGTTAAAAGTTTAGGATATCAACCTATTCGTTTGGAAAAACTTTCGACCAAAATTTTCCTTTAACCCTTGTGAGAATTGTTCAACTAATTATCAACATTACATTAATATAAGACAATATTACACTATTTTTTAAACTTTCAAGATAATATTACACTAATAAAAAATATTGGTTGCACCTTGCAAAAAACTTTCAAAAAAAAAATTTGTCCTTTGACCTTTATATACAAAGAGAGTGGGGAGGAATGTACATATAAGTGCAATTTTTACTTGTCAATTTTAAAAGTGATAATTTAACTTAAAGTATATTATACAAATATTAAGTTTTAAATTATTCAAATTAAATCCAAATATCATAAAATGAATGTAGACGCCAAACATTTCTCTCCGAAAGTACATACATTTTGTATGTTAAATTTGATTGCAGTGTTATATGTATTTTTTGTCCTAATATATTATTACATAAGTTAATAATCTATACAAATAGAAGCTATCATCCACAGAATTCGAACTCACGATTTTGTTTAAGGTTATCAAATCTCTTTAATTCTATTCAATTGCCAGTAATTTGAACTTATTATAGCAAACCTTTTTATAGATGAGAAAGAAGCAATTTTCTTTATGTGTGGTTAAATGTGGAAAGCACACAAGAGATCATCCCACTACGCACATATTCCATAATTTAGAAGTAATTAAGGTTTCCCTAATTAGCTTTGAAATTTTTAGAAATATAATACTCCAAATTTAAACTAATCATAATTGGATAAGTTATCCATTCTAAGTAATATCTAATGGATAATGAAATCAAATCTTTTGTTGCAAAGCTAGCATTTAGTTTTTTGTGTAATTGTTGGTCTCTTCTTCGAAATGTCCTAAATGACTAGAATCGTTAGTCTCCCTTCGGCTTGAACAAAATAACATGCATTGGTCACACTTTTATGGGGAGAATACATTTAGAATAAAAAATTATATATATGATAGAAAAATTATATTTTTTGATTTACTGTTATTCCTAACATTAACACGAATATCAATGGACTGCACAGGAAGGATTGCGTTACGAAACAGCCACGTGTCACATGTCACGTGCCACGTGGGTGGTCCTCCTTCGTAAAGAGCGGCGTGATGTGTGTACTCTTTAGCAACCACGTGATTAATTGATTGAAAAATATAGTTAGAGCGGATTTATCATATCATTCACGGGGGATTCAATAAAAATATACTACTCTCTTTTATCTTAAATAATAAAATATTTTTAAATAAAATTTTATATATTAATAAATCTCATTAAATACACTTAACAACTTTATTTTTTTTAAATAAAAATATAAACTTTTAAAAATACTCATTATTTAATACATTGAAAAGAAAAGAAATAAAAATTAATTATAAAAAGGGAAATGATAATATTAAAATTGATACATTTAATGAAACATTAATCCATCTAAAGTATCTTATATTTTGAGATGAAAAAACTCTTTTAAAAATGTCCTATAATTTGAGACGAATGGAGTATTTAAATAGTATTAAATATAAAATTAATTTTGATATTAATGATAGTAAAGAGAGAAAGGGCAAGAAATCAAATGGACATTCTATTATAAAAATAAAATTAATTTAAAAAATATAACATAATATTTTATTTAAATTATTTTAATTAAACAGATCATAAATAATATAATACACTCAATTTATCTAAATATTTTTCTTAACTGATATCCCCACATACACCATATTCTTAGCTAGCTGTCGCATGTCTGTTGTTTTTGGCTGTAGATCTGTCAATGAAGCTCCT